AAAAGAGTGAAATTACATTCCTCCTGCAGGTACGTCATACAAGGGAAATCTATGCAGTAGGTTTCTCGGTGCTACTTACCCGGCTGTCTCCAAGATTGGCAATGTAAAGAATGTTATCTACAGCCAGGACACAGGTCGCTGTGGAACCATCCTTCCAGGCTGGCTTCCTGAAGGCACCAGAAATAAGGTTACAATGGAATAATCCAATCAGCTAGCACAAAATCACCAAACTTCTGTTTGGGAGTTCCCCCTGTTTTTACTCACAGGTTTGTGTGATTTCCCTCTCCTCCAATCCTGGTCTTACTCTTACAGTGCAGAGTAGCCTTATGCTGCTGTTCTGTATAGCTGGTAGTGGAGGGGGGCAGGGCTGAGGAATACTAGGCCACTCTGCTAACCTATCAGCAGCCATTGAAGGCTGCAGCTCCAACTTGCATATGGGCTAACTGGACTCTTGGCAGGGAGCAACAACTTAAAGTCACCTTTGCCATATGTATTAGTTGCACCTTCTGGCTGTAGCACTGAGGAAGCATAACTCAGAATTGGGGCCTGGGAAAGGTAGACATTTTTAACAGTTACAGGTAGCTCCGGGGGACATTTGTACTTACTGACTAGAAGCCTGCTTCAGGAACTCCTCATCTGTATGTTTGAAGGAGTCCAGAAGGCATCTCTTCACCGTTTTCTCCACGCTGACTACCTCTCCTGTCGCACAAAAGAAAGTGGCACATGCTCATGTTGCAATACCATGGACATCTATTCCTGTCCCCTCCTCACCTATCTGATATGCTTGCGCGCAGGCATGCATGCGCACACACACAGAAGATATGACCACAAGAATATACCCAACTGCCAAATGTCAAGATGTAAATGTGCATGGCCAGTATGTATAACAGCCCAGAAGACAAGGGACACTGTATTACTTTCCTCAACCATATTCATAGGCAGGGCTCGCCAAACCGCGGTGAGTCCTGCTCGCCAGCCGCACTGCGCATGCGCAGATCGCCCGAACCCAGCTCTTCCGGGTTGCAATCTACTTGCCATGAGCGAGTAGACTGCATTATATGTCGAGCACTGTTCATAGGAGATCTGCTATGGTGCTTTCCTGGAACTTGCATAACCCAGCTAACACTATATGGATTTTGGTATGATAGCCTCACAAATCTGCTCAACATCTGGTTCATCTCTCCTATCTTCTGTCTTAAGGCATTGTCATCCAACGCATTCCACTCACAGCCATGTCCAGGGCTCTTGCAGTCTGAAGTAATTTCTTAGTGGACACACAGCTGCAAGTCATGAGGAACGAAAGATGATGCACATGCCCCAACAAGGGCCTCTCTTACCTTTAGGAAATTTCTTAATCAGATTTTGGTGAAGATTCTGTGCTGCAAATTTTGAGGCTCGAACTCCCCCATGGCCATCAAAAACAGCAAAGTATGAGACACGGGTTCTGTGAAGGAAGTAGTATTAATGCAAACTAGCTATGAATGGGCTGGTATCAGCCAGAAGTTAAAATTTAGTCAAGAGGCCTGTGTCCCTAGCAGCTCTCCTTACCAGTATTGGAACAGAAAAAGTAATGTTTCCTTTAAGAGGTGTAGATCTAGCATGTATGAGTTTATCTCCTCCAGGAAATGAAAAGAGGCTATGGCCCCCAGCCACATTTAACAACAGCCAGATATTCCACCTCATGGGCACTCCAACTCTGAAGCCTCTCTCCAACAATTTCAGAATTTGCTATTCACAGATGCCAACCTATCATGTCCCAGAAATTCTCTGCATGCAGAATGTTTGGTACAGCTGTGCTATAAACAAGAGATAATGGGACATACTAATTATTGTCAAATTGTCTTTGGTTCTACATCACATATTTAGCTTAAACAGCTATATTCAGGTATCTTGGGCCTGATATCCAGAGTACTAGGAGGAGCTGGCTTTTACTGAAGATAGTGGGAGTGGCATTGTACTCAGCTTTCAGGAGAATAAATAAATAAAAAGAAGAAGTCAGGTCTTCGGCACTTGATGTAAGCCACCTAACAAATGAGGCACCTTTTGCATCAGCAAACCTTACATGATTTGCTCAAGATCAGTGGCAGAGCTAGGAATTCAATTCAAATCACCCATGTCACCACACAAAGCAATATTGAGTCAAGAGCCACATTTGCTCAGAGTGAGGGATCATTGTCAACAGCCCAAGCAAAGGTAATGGGAGCACTTTCATCTCCTTGCCATAACTATATTCTCCTATAATGTTACTTCTTGGCTCCAGAGGTCTGGCCTACTTACATTTGAGGGGGCAGGGGGCTGCACTCTTCAGTAATGTCATTCAAGATAACATGTGCATCCTGCATCTCTTCTCGTTCACCTTTCCTCTCTGCCATATAACCTTTCAGTCCAAAGATGCCTCCAGAAGCTAGTGAGAAACAAAGCAAAATTACACACATGAAACTCCACCATGGCCTGAGCCTGATTTAGAAACCGGTGATCATTTTCCTCTATCCAAGATCCTGAAAATCCCATGGCATTATGGCAAGAAGCGTCTGTTGCCCTGCATAGACTGTACTTGAAATTGAAGGTGTGGGTGTTTTTTTTTTTTTTTTTTTTTTAAAAGAGTCAGACTGAAATCTTTTGCTGAAAATGTCATGATTAGTGACACTAGTATTAAGTGTCCCCAACATCAGAAAACGTAAGATAGTTTAGCATCCTCCTGAAGCAGGGCACCCAATTCTCAGTGTTAAAGCCAGTTCTATAAAACACATCAGACTGGGATATCATTACCTGACCAGGAGAGGCACACTATACACTCTATAGAAACTTGCTTGAAACAGTGTCATGACCATGAGGGATGGGTAGCAGCTTGGGGACTAAGAGGTTAACTGTACCTAAGCCAGCCAATAAAAATGCAAATAGGGATTTCAAACTGGGACAAAGGAATTTTTGGTTTTCCCCTCCTTTGTCCCTGGCAGTTTCTCTCCAGATACTGAGGGAAGACAGACATGTCTCTCTCTCCCCCTTCAAGAATAGACTCTTCACTATCTGTAAGTAGGGTAAAGTTTAGATAAATCCATTAGGTTTTATTGTTTGGGAATGGGAATCTGATGTTTAAGATTTTCGGGGGAAGCTTTGGTATAAAGCCTGGAAAGATAAGGTTTTGGGGTACTTTTGCAGGCTCCCACTTCTGCATTCATTGTGCCAGAGTGGGGATTTGGCCTTGATGAACAGTAAATCTGTAAAGAGGCTGATAATACATAAAAGTTACACCAAATACGGTTTCAATCAAGTGTATCTCTTAGTTTGAACCTACCAAGTACATCCAGTTCTCAAAGCCTTGTGCAATGTTTGGAAATCTATATCACTACTGTATGTCTCATATCTGCACTAAAAAGCAAGACGGACATGAAATACTAAGCCAGTTTTCTCAGGTGTTCTCTCGCTTCATTGCAACCATGTGATGGTGTGACAAGATAGGCCCACTGGTCCGTGAAGAGGGAGAAACAGTAACAGGAAACTTGGAAATGGCAGAGATGCTTAATGACTTCTTTGTTTAGGTCTTCACCAAGAAGTCTGAAGGAATGACTAACAGTGAATGCTAGTGGGAAGGGGGTAGGTTTAGAAGATAAAAGAAAAAAAGAAAAAAGTCAAAAATCACCTAGAAAAGTTAGATGCCTGCAAGTCACCAGGGCCTGATAAAATGCATCCTAGAATACTCAAGGAGCTGATAGAGGAGGTAGCTGAGCCTCTAGCTATCATCTTTGGAAAATCATGGGAGACGAGAGATTCCAGAAGACTGGAAAAGAGCAAATACAGTGCCCATTTATAAAAAGGGAAATAAGAACAACCCAGGAAACTACAGACCAGTTAGTTTAACTTCTGTGCCAGGGAAGATAATGGAGTAAGTAATGAAGGAAATCATCTGTAAACACTTGGAAGGTGGTAAGGTGATAAGGAACAGCCAGCATGGATTTGTAAAGAATAAATCATGTCAAACCAATCTGATAGCTTTCTTTGATAGGATAAAGAGTCTTGTGGATAAGGGAGAAGTGGTGGATGTGGTATACCTAGACTAATAAGGCATTTGATATGGTCTCGCATGATATTTTATCAAACTAGGCAAATACAACTGTTTTGCTGACATGTTTTGGCATTTGAACAGTAACTACCTGTATATTAATTAATGAGTTGTTACTTTGCAATGGGCGGAGATATTATGTAATTTTTAGTAGTTCTATTGGCTTATGTGCTCATTTTGTCTTGCTGCTAAGCCTATCAAATCATTTTTCCTCTGTCCACCTGCTGACTATATAACCTATTGTATTGTGTTAATTAACCAGTGTTCACTAGGGTAATCCCTGCATGTCATTATCAGTTGGTGTATAATAAATCTTCCGCTTGTTTTCACCTGCATCCAGAGTGTCCTGGATTATTTCCAACAGATAACATTTTCCATTGAAACCAATGGGAGCCAGGAATCTCAATACCTGGGAGGATCTGAGCAAGGACGGCAGAATTTGATGCAACAACAATATGCATTTCTAGAGAGATTTTCCTTTTTAAATAATTTTACTAACTCTCTGATTCAAATATAAGCCATTATTAGCCAATAATTATATTTTTTCTATCCCTATTAGAGCACAGACAAATAGGAGAGTGGAAATAACATGATTTATTTAAAAGATTTTAACCAGGTTCTTTCATGGAAAAAAATTAAAGATCCAGCATTGTACAGATCACTCTGCTGAGATGTGAGCCAAATGACTTAAAGCAGAATTCCAATATTACTTCTCTTTTTTGAAAGTTTTCTCACAAACTCCTCAAAATATCTGCCTCCACCTAGTGGTGTGGGTTTGTTATTTATATTCCCTGTTGTAGAAATACATCAAATTATACTCCGCATGATTCTATGATTCTATCTGTAGGGACAGGGATAATCCTGGGAAGAGGCTCTTTTTTCCTTCACTGCTCTATAGAGGTTCTTATACTGCTTGTTGTCAGCAAGACATGAGAAGTCATTCTTCCACTCTACTCTGCGCTGGTTAGGCCTCAGTTGGAGTATTGTGTCCAGTTCTGGGCACCACATTTCAAGAAAGATGTGGAGAAACTGGAGAGGGTCCAGAGAAGAGCAACAAGAATGATTAAAGGTCTAGAGAACATGACCTATGAAGGAAAGCTGAAAGAATTGGGTTTGTTTAGTTTAGAAAAGAGAAGACTGAGGGGGAACATGATAGCCGTTTTCAGGTATCTAAAAGGGTGTCACAAAGAGGAGGGAGAAAACTTGTTCTTCCTGGTCTCTGAGGGTAGAACAAGAAGCAATGGGCTTAAACTGCAGCAAGGGAGGTTTAGGTTGGACATTAGGAAAAAGTTCCTAACTGTCAGGGTGGTTAAACACTGGAATAAATTGCCCAGGGAGGTGGTGGAATCCCCATCTCTGGAGATATTTCAGAGCAGGTTAGATAAATGTCTATCAGAGATGGTCTAGACAGTACTTGGTCCTGCCATGAGGGCAGGGGACTGGACTCGATGACCTCTCATGGTCCCTTCCAGTCCTAGTATTCTATGATTCTAAGATGCTACTGGGACAAGGCAGTCTGGATCACTCTGCCAGAAGTCAGTGACTTCCACACCTCAACTACTGCAAGACTTGTGCTCGGACTGGATGTCTCTGGATGGTTGTGAAATACACCTGCACTGATTCAGCGTAACTGCTAACAGCCACCCAAATGAAAAAGAACACAAGCTCTGGGATCTACATTCAGAATTTGCCAGCAGGCTGTACCCTTCATTTCTTAAGAGTAATCATAGAAAGTGTACTGACGTACCAAAGCTTAGACTCAACCTGGCCTTATCTCAACCCACAAAGAGTATAAAACAGAGTACATTTGTTTTCAAACTGTCTGAAAACCTTTACAAACTTTCTTTTCCACAAGTTCTTCACTGCCGTTCTTCTCTTCCTCTGAGGCTTTCCTCTTCTCTCCCTTCCCATGATTCCCTACTGCTGAGACCTGCTCAGTGATGTGTGAAGCTAGAAGACAGCAAAAACACAGATATCTGAAGCCTCTGCAGAAGTGCTTTCTGCCCTTTGTTTTTATTTACGAGAATCACTTACCTCTTACATTGAAGAAAATGATTCCTTTTACAATGAGGTATTATAGACCTACTGTATGCTACAGTCTGGTGAATTTGAGCTTGAGCTTACAGACTTCCCTTCCATGTCCCCTTTCCCTTGCTTTCACCCCTTTAATTCCTAGCTACCAGACTGATCTAAGTTGACTGGTTGGGTATGTTAAAACCAAAGTTTAAAACTTCGGTATTTCTAGTTTTTGTAACATGATTATCATGCATGAGAAGGATTTTTACTACTTTCTAGGACAGACAATATTATTTACATACATAAAAGAGACAGGGTGAACTACAAAATAAAGTCCGGAGTGATCAGGTAGAAACAGAGCATGGCATCTAATGTGACAGAGGAGTCAATGCTCATGAAATGTCCCTAATGACTGACTGACTGTCTACAGTAATTACTCGTTTAACAAGTGCCTGCTTAACATGTTTTTGTGATAGCACTTCACTTTTTTTTTTATTAAAGGAAACGTTTTTTGAATAACACAACTGTCCCCAGGCAGCAGAGGCAGCTGCCTCAGGACCGGGACATAAGGCTGGGGGAGAAAGGGCCGGCCTGCAGCTGCATAAGGCTTCCCCCACCTCCCTGCAAAGTGGGGGAGGGTTCGCCGCTCACCGCGCCATTCCCCGCCAGCCCCCCCTTCACCAGACACAGTGTGGGTCCCGGCAGACCTCTCACAGGGGCATACTCCCAACCCAGTCCCCCTCGCCCTCTTCTTTCCTCCCCTCCCCCAGAACCAAACACCTCCCCTCCCTGCTGTAAACCAGTCCCCTTTCTTCCCCAACCTTATGTCCCAGTCCCAAGGCAGCTGCCTGTGCTCAGCAGCCAGCTGCAAGCAAGTGCAGGCTGGAGACAACTCAGCACCAACAGAAAATTGACTTTGACACCACCACTTGAAATGCAACCCCCACCATTTCCATTATTTTCAATGGGAAAATTGACCCCGCATAACACATTTTCGCTAAGCACGATCATTTTCTGAAACTTATCTACCGTGTTAAATGAGGAATTACTGTACATGATAAAAATGGGTAAAACTGGTAGTTTAGATTTAAGAAGAATCCCCAACTATAACAGCAGCAGACAGTTTTGACCAGGATCAAGTTACTTGGCAATGCTATGCAAGAACCTTGTGTGGTGCCTAACTGCTTCATGCATAACAATAACCAGTGCTCTTTACTCTTCACTTTAGACCAGGGGTTATGAAAGTGTGGTCCAGGGACCACGAATAGTCTGCAGCCATCTTGTAGGTGGGCTGCAGGCTTAGGGCTTTCCTTCTCTCACCCCCCGCCCCCCACCCATGCAGTAGGGAGCCGGCGCTGACACTCCAGCTCCATGTCCCAGCCTCGGCAAGGTTGGGGTGTCAGCACTGGCTTCCAACTGTGGAGGGGACAGGGAAGAGGAGGGAGAATCTTGCAGATCAGCTCCAACTTGCAGGAAAAGGAAGCAGCTCCAATGGTAGCACAGGAAATCATGCGCCTGGAGGCTTTCCCCACTCCTCCCACTGGCTGGAATCACAGCCAATGGAAACCGCAGGGGGCGGCGCCTGGGAACGGCAAGAGCCACGGAGCCAAGTAAGCAGCTCCCATCTCACTCAGGTCCAGTCCCTGCACTCTTATCGCCCTCATACATAATCTTCCCACTGAGACCATGCACCCCCACCTCCTCCTGCAACCTCTCACCCAGACCTCCCGCAACCCGCTTCTGCAGCCAGCCTCCCAGCCAGATGCCGCGCGTCCTGCTGCACCCATTCTGTCATCATAGTTGGGTTGGCTGGTGGTCTGCAGAAAGGTCTGCATTGAGCAGGGTGGACCGTTGGCCAAAAAGTTTGAGAATCACTGCTTTAGACAAAGAACACTACATTGACGCCAACCTCCAAAAAGCATATAGTACAACAGTGGCTCTCCACCCTTCCAGACCAAGGGTTTTTAAGAATATGTATTTGTCTTGTATACCCCTCCTCCCCCCAAAATTCACTTTCCTTAAAAACTACTTGCTTACAAAATCAGACATAAAAGCACAAGTGTCACGGCACACTAGTGCTGAAAAATTGATTACTTTGTCATTGCCATATAATTACCAAATAAATCGATTGAATATAAATATTATGCTTACACTTCAGTGCATATTTTAGTTTATACTGTCGTTGCTAGTGCTGCTTGTGTAGCCTGTTGTAAAACTAGGCAAACATCTAGGGGAACTGACATAACCAGGGGTACATAGAGTCTTCCAGGGGGTAAGAACTACTGCAGCGAAACACCCATTAACTGAAGTCTTTCCAGGACATGAGAGATGTTATGGAGTCAGCTACATCAGACCTGATGCATGCACTTACTTCTGTTAATAGACCCAAGTTTGATGACCTGGATTTTTATTTACATGGGTATGTCACCACTACCAGTGCAAGTGCCCAAATATCCATCAATATACAGGCAAGACTGTTGGAAAGAACAAGGTGAATCCCAATCCCAATGACAAGCTATGCTAACAAATTCCATGAAGAAAGGCCCATGTACAGAAGGCTACTACAGTTCCTTACCTGAGTCACCACTGCTGGCTGGCGGTAGATCATCAAAGAGCAAAGGTCCCCCTGCTCCTAAAACACAAGTTAAGAAAACAAGTCAACAAAATGTAAATTGAATGCTTCCACCCTATGAGCAGAATCCTGATTATGTCCCACAGATATACAAAGGCTATACATGCCATCTTACCCAGGCCAGATCAGTTACCTTGGCAGTGGGAGGACCCAGGCCTTACGTTAATGTTTTTAAATATGTTCCATGTTAACATTTCCAAAAAATATGGAAGAACCACATATTAAGATAGCAATTTGTATTGGCCAAAGAAAAGAGATCGGAGCAAGACGACAAATACTCAAACATGTAGATATCCTAGAAGATTTTATCCTATACTTGTGTAATTAAAAAAAGACTTAGATAAAGTCCGTATGAGAAGAAATGCGGATGCAAACAGAAGCCAGGCAGATGCTGAGACAATGAACAGTCTTGATACCTGAGTCAGCAGCGCTGACAGCCTGTCTGTGCTTATTTCCCTAAAACACATCAGAGCACAGTCAAAACACACCTGACAAGTTAGTATCAAGAAGCAAAGTAATGCCCATTATTCTACAGAGCTTTTTGTACAAATGACTTCCTCCATCCTAACTACAGACTGGTACCTCAAGAGACACACTCTATCACTTTCCTTTGATCTGAGGAAGTGGGTCTGGCCCACAAAAGCTCATCACCTAATAAACCACCTTGTTAGTCTTTAAAGTGCTAAATAGTCCTGTTTTTTGTTCCAGCTACACCAGACTAACACGGCTACATTTCTATCTCATTCCTGGAAATAAAACTCTTATCAATCATTTCTAGCTAAAGCACTTTGGATTTTCAAGAAATAAAGTGACTCCTTTCAAAACCTTGGCTATTATAGGAAATTAAAGGAGGGACAGAAAGACTACTAGGTTATTTCAGGTAACACTTCTCAGCATTTACATGAAGAGCCAATGGCCTTTAGCAGAGGAGATGCACAAGTAGTTAATGGCAGAAATATCTGCTTAGTTAATTAACACTGATGCGCTAAGCACTCTGAATTCCTCTCAGGAACTGCAGTACACATCTGTTCTCCCATTCTGCTTTCTTCCTTTTCTACCAACCACAGCTTTTTCTTTTGAACAATGTTCATCTACCCTGCTGAGTTCTTCTGCACTTCTAAGATGCAGGAAGCCTTTGATTTCAGTTCACAGCAAATATCCAGTGGATATTCAACTTATTCATAAATGATCTAGAGAAAGGGGCAAGCAGTGAGGTAGTAAAGCTTGCGGATGATACTAAACTGTTTAAGATAGTTAAGATAGAAGAAGACTGAAGAACTTTAAAAAGATCTCACAAAACTGAGTGAATGGGCAACAAAAAGGCAAATGAAGTTTAATGTGAATATGTGTAAAGTAATGCACGCTGGAAAAAATAACCCCAACTGTACATACAATATGATGGGGGCTAATTTGGCTATGACAAATCAGGAAAGAGATCTTGGCGTTATCGCGGACAGTTCTCTGAAAACATCCACACGGTGTGCAGAGGAGGTCAAAAAGGCAAATAGAATGTTAGGAATTATTAAGAAAGGGATAGAAAATAAGACACTGAATATCTTACTGCCCCTGTATAAAACTATGGTACGCCCACATCTTGAGTACTGTATACAGATGTGGTCTCCTCACCTCAAAAGATATTTTGGCCTTGGAAAGGGTTCAGAAAAGGGCAACTAAGATGATCACGGGTTTGGAACAGGTCCCATATGAGGAGAGGCTAAAGCGACTGGGACTTTTCAGTTTAGAAAAGAGGAGACTGAGGGGGGATATGATAGAGGTATATAAAATCATGAGTGGTGTGGAGAGGGTGAATAAAGAAAAGTTATTCATTAGTTCCCTTAATATAAGGACTAGAGGACACCAAATGAAATTAATGGGTAGCAGGTTTAAAACTAATAAGCGAACGTTCTTCTTCACACAGCGCGTAGTCAACCTGTGGAACTCGTTACCAGAGGAGACTGTGAAGGCTAGAACTATAACAGAGTTTAAAGAGAAGCTAGATAAATTCATGGAGGTTAGGTCCATAAAAGGCTATTAGTCAGGGGGTAGGAATGGTGTCTCTGGCCTCTGTTTGTCAGAGGTTGGAGACAGATGGCGCGAGACAAATCGCTTGATCGTCTTCGGTCCACCCTCTCTGGGGCACCTGGTGCTGGCCACTGTTGGCAGACAGGATACTGGGCTTGATGGACCTTTGGTCTGACCCAATACAGCCATTCTTATGTTATGCACATGTCCTTACTCTTTATCATACATGACATCAGATGATTGTGAGGACCTCTGTTGATTATTTGCAGTATGTTACTTTATAAAAAAAAAAAAAAAAAAAAAAAAAAAAAAGGACTAACTAACACTGCAATGACATTTAAAAAAAATCTCGAGAGCACTTTTTAATAATAGGTTCTGATTACTTTTAAAAGTTTAAGAATTTTTCCGCTTTTCTTTTAGTGCTTGAAGGTATTTTCAGCAAAGTAAATTACTGGGGAAAAACTGCATAGTTGACTACCAAAGTGCTGCCAAAAGCACAAAACCTAAAAAGAAGGGAAAAAATTAACTTCACCCAGTTACAAGTAACATCTAGGATTACTGTAACTACAGTACGTTAAATAAACATCTTCAGGCAGAAATGAGATCTTACAAGTTGGCGATATCCCCTTAAAATGGTCAGCCTAAACTTATTATTGGTTAACTTCAAAACAAGGAAAGGAGGCTTCTTGTAGAGATATTTCTTTTTAGCTGTGACAATATGGTATGGAGTTGGCCCAGCTCTTGCAAAGCCTTACACGTGCTTAAATTCCATGAGACCAGTCCTATTCCTTAAATGGGTCTATTCTTGGGTGTGTCACTTCAGTGTGATTTAAATCTTTGCAGATCTGGGGCCTAACCAAGCAGGACAGTGGAAAAACATAACGACAATATATATTTAAAGTGGAAATTAACTCCAGGGAATTGCCTGTAGTAGGTCAGACCCAGCAAATTATTCAGTGGGAGATCTGCACAGAAATATAACCTAACAGTCATTTTAACAGGGATGAAAAAAACAAAACACAAAGCAATGTACCAATGCAACTTATCAGGGCTCCCTCTAGTGATGTAACACCTGAAATGCATGCACATTTGAGGAAGTAGGTGGCCTGGAGCTCAAATCCTGCCTAGAATACATTTACATCAAAGAGTCATATTTTACACATTTGTTTCTTTTTCCGGATAAAATACACACAGTACAATGGATTTAATGATGTCTAGTAAATCTCCAACATGTTTCAAAATAGGTGCACAGTACAAAACTGAGTAAGGTATTAAAATAGTTCTGAATTCCTATAAAAGTGATATCAAAACTAATATTTGCCATAAAATAAGACTGAAAAAAGGACTGCCACATTTTATGCACATTCAATCAGTAGCATTGTGTGTATAATCAGGTACACTGTTTAATTTGTACCAAACTATTTCTTACATTAATTGACATTTGTGCAAAAGATTATATACGCATGTTAAGCATAAAACAAAAAAGAATCTATACATTCACTCTACAGGAAGATTTCCCCAACACATTCTGCTTTTTACCAAATATGCAGAAGGACAACAGCAGGAGCTTCTACCTTAGCAAGTTCTGTGCGGCTGAATTAGGAACAGACCAATTTCTAATATACCCAACAAGGATTTTAATTCAAAGACAGATCATGGAAATCCCATGTTCTCTCACCTAATTCTGAGATTTCAACAAACCCCACTTGTGCTGCTTTTCCTGCACATGGTATTTCTCCAGCAGCACAGGCAAGAGAAACACTGGTAAGAACTGGTTCCCATTCACTCTGCTCTTGAAGAGGGAAGGAAAGAGGAGGAAAAAAACCCAAGAGAAGTGGCAAGGGACAAAATATGGAAATAAAAATGGGATATGCAAATAGGCAGGGCTCGACAAATTGCTGAATCTACTCGCCCATGGCAAGAAGATTTCAGCTGGTCGCCCTGTTCACCGGCAGCGCACACATGTGCAATGCGGGTCTTTCACATACGCAGTGCGGGGCTGGTGAGTAGGTTTCGCCGCCATTTGTCAAGTCCTGCAAATAGGCACATATGCACTGGTGGTTCTATAGCAGTGTATACTTGGTTAAATTAGTTTGTTCTCATATATGCATGACCAGGATAGACTCTTAGAATATCACAGACACACACAACAGCAGAGCAAGGAAATAGAGTAAGAAGGGGAAAGAATCAGGACCAAGGCAAAAAATTAGCAAGATCAATGGAAATGAACAAAAACGAAAAGGACTAGAAAGAGGCAGAGACTAGAAAAGAACTAAATAGCTTAACTAATGGAAGCAGCAGTAGCGACAGAAAGATTAGATTACTATCAGAGGAAAACAGTGGGCAAAAATAATTTCCCCCTCCCCACCAGAGTTTCTCGATTATATTTCATACTAGCAGAAATACCCGGCATCGCCCAGAGAAAATATAGTAAAAGGTGTGATGAATGAACTATGTCAATGACATTAATATAGCATATTTTATTGGAAATACTTTTTTCATATATTACTTTAAGAAATTAACATAGCTAGTACTTTTTCTTTTATCATAGGGAAAGGATCTCGTAGTTGCAGTTTGTGTGACACTTAAGAGAAGAGTCCAGGAAATGCCTATGATCAGGTGCTACTAAAAGCTAATTAGTGGCCCAATTGGCACTCTGTTGGAACCCATTTGAGATATAACCAATCCAGTTATTTACGTTAAGAAATCAGTAGTATCCATGCAAAATTTGGTGTTTCTAGCTCTTACCGTTTCAGAGATCTTTCAGGACAAACTTACTTTCAGAAATATTTATAAGATTCTGCAAGAGAGGGTAGAGTGTGCATGTAAAACATCTCAGCCTCTCAGCTAAAAAATTAAATCCCCAGCAATGAAGATGAAGGCTGCTCAGTGAACAAAATGAAAAATAGGTTTTAGACAAGCCATCATAGAAAAAGCAAGCAGGGAAAGGTCAGGCATGTGGGAGAGGGCTATAACCCCTTACCTGAGCTGCTGGATGGTGGGAGATCATCAAAAAGCAAAGATCCTCCTTTCAGTGCTTCTTTTCCTGAAACCAATCAATGAAGTAATATGATCAGAACACCATGGAATTGTGTCTCACAACCCAGTGTATAAATACACTGCTCCAGGATGCAACTCTGACAGCCATCATATGTTTTATGAAAATTGACTTATGAGTACACAACTCAGACTTTATGCCTAATGGGTCATATAACCCGTCAGTCAAGAGCCTGTGATTCCCTGAATGCGTATATTCTATGTTTGTGCATGTTTCTTGTATGTGAAGTTAGAAATAGGGATGTAAGCGACTAGTTGACTATCTGATAAGCATATGCCTATTAGAGTGTTGACTAGTCGCTCCCCCACCTTGTTGCCACTATCAGAGCGGGGCAGCAAGAGGGGCGGAGGGGAAGATCAGGAGCCAGTGCTGGAGGAGCCAACTTAAAAGCTAGTCCCCCCCTCCCCAGTACCATCCATGCAGGAGGACAGGGGAGGCAGAGGAGTAGCAGGAGACCAGGAATAAACTGGGAATAAGCTGTCATAAGAACAGCCGTACTGGGTCAGACCAAAGGTCCATCTAGCCCAGTATCCTGTCTACCGACAGTGGCCAACACCAGGTGCCCCAGAGAGGGTGGACCGAAGACAATGATCAAGCGATTTGTCTCCTGCCATCTCTCTCCAGCCTCTGACAAACAGAGGCCAAGGACACCATTTTATCCCCTGGTTAATAGCCTTTTATGGACCTAACCTCCAGGAAATTATCTAGCTTCTCTTCAAACTCTATTATAGTCCAGCCTTCACAGCCTCCTCTGGCAAGGAGTTCCACAGGTTGACTACACGCTGTGTGAAGAAGAACTTTCTTTTATTCGTTTTAAACCTACCCTTTAATTTCATTTGGTGTCCTCTAGTTCTTCTATTTAGGGAACTAATAAATAACTTTTCTTTATCGGCCCTTTCCACACCACTCATGATTTTAAAGACCTCTATCATATCCCCCCAGTCTCCTTTTTTTCCTAAACTGAAAAGTCCCAGTCTCTATAACCTCTCCTCATATGGGACCCGTTCCAAACCCCTAATCATTTTAATTGCCCTTTTCTGAACCCTTTCCAAGGCCAAAATATCTTTTTTGAGGTGAGGAGACCACATCTGTACACAGTATTCCAGATGTGGGCGTTTTTATATAGGGGCAGTAAGATATTCTGTGTCTTATTTTCTATCCCTTTCCTAATAATTCCTAGCAACCTATTTGACTTTTTGACCACCGCTGCACACTGCATGGAAGTTTTCAGAGAACTGTCCACGATAACTCCAAGATCCCTTTCCTGATTTGTTGTAGCCAAATTAGCCCCCATCATACTGTACGTATAGTTGGGGTTATTTTTCCCCCCCAATGTGCATTACTTTAAACTTATCCACATTAAATTTCATTTGCCATTTTGCTGCCCAATCACTGAGTTTGGTGAGATC